TATCACGGAAACTTCACAAAATTGAAAATGGAAATTTGTTGACTTAGATAAAATCGAATAAATGAGAAATACTGAGGTCTCATCAGAGCTCGTATACTCGCTGATGGGGGATCGTCGGTCCTCCCGTTGCCTTGGCGCCTGATATCCCCTTGCTTGTCACTCTTCCCTTCCTGACACCCTTCCAAGCTGAAAAGCTTAACTTTATATTATTTCTGACAACTGATCGTAGGTGTAAACTCCCGCTTGCCCGCAAAATTTTTTGAAAATTCGAAAAATGGTTGGTATGCATATTATTACTGGCTTTTCATCATTTTCATCCGTACCGATTACGCCTCCGTGGCTCGAAAGTGAAATCTTATGGTCAATTTTGAGCCATAAAATAAGCTCAGAGGACAGTTGCTTAGCAGGATTGTATAGCGAGAAGTTTATCCCAGTAGGCACACATTGCGCTGAAGATTTCTCAACGGAAGTGTGTGGGAGGGGAGCGTATATCACCGTTTGGCAAAAGACACCAGAAAGATCGTCTATCTTCTCTGGAGAGGGATGAATTTCAGTGATAAGAGCCCTTTCTATTCCTCCTTTCCCGTTTCAGGGGCGCTACAACTCTACCCTACAATTGAAGTCAAATTTTTGGGAAAATTTGTTTTGGTTTTATGCAGGTTGTAAATGGGGGTCGTACTGAAGGAAGAATTTCTGGGAGGGGGATCATACTGACACCGCTATATCACCCATCCCGATGGTGCACCCATGGATCATAATTCGGTTCCAGAGGAAAGGGCAGGTTGCATATGGGCTGTTGAGAATCCGTTTGCAAAGAAATTCTTTCCATTCTGAGCGAGCCACGTCCTGCCATTGGAGAAGGAGGGGAGAGGGTAGGGGTATTTTTCGAAGTACAATCCTCGACCCTTAAAATTTCCTGTACTGATGCGATTCCTTCCTCTACCCTATGCTCCTACCATCTCACTGAATTCTCCCCACTTCCTACCACTTTGCGGGTCTTAACCTGCCTCTGAGCGAAGACGGCAGGAGCAGGGGGTGGAGGTGGGGGGACTTACAGGAACAGGAAAAATCAAATGGTGAGAATTCAATATCCGCGAAAGACTATTCTCGAGGGCAAGTAGATCCCTCAACACCAGCTGCCAAATACGAACCCACTTGCTGGGGACCCCAACATATGACATGCCCTTATTCAAAGGCGCGCCATGTACCCAAAGACAAGAAAATTCGTTTTTTCTAAACTGAAGTGGTGAGTTAGCTTCCATCCCGCTCTAAGGCGAGTGGGACGATTGGAGAAGGGGTGAAAGTCGTACTGGAGGAAATTCACTCTTTCTCCCGAGGGGGAAACGAGTTGGCGCTGCGCCATGACCACCACCATCCGCAGCGAAGAATACTGTAACCCACCCATAATCATTCATATGGCCTCAACTGGACCACTATTTTCATCGATCGTGTGATCGTAGAAAAAAAGTCTTAGAAATTGACTGAGAAATCTCTTTTCTCACAGTCACTGTGCAAATGCATATAAAGTTTTTTTTTAGAATAATGATGCCCAACTGACATTGGAAGAATTCAAGGAGGGGGCCAAAGCAGATCCGTCTATTGTGCATGCTTTGTCATTGTATGAAGGTTTATCGTCGTGATCTATTGAACATGATTCCTCTTATGGTCCACGTACTCATTGTCGTTGTTCCCCATCTGGAGCCTACACACTTCTATTTACTACATTCGCTAACGGTGTTTGTTATGCTAGGTAACAATGGCTTTATCATCCCTTTGAAAAATGCTCCATTCAATTGTTTGTACTATTCTTATGTTGGTGGCCCGCATTTCAGCCGCCTATCATCTCATCTTATCAAGCGCACGGCTTTAATAAAAGTTGTAGTCATTCTGCCCTAAAAAAAGTAAAATCGCGATAGTATTACTGTAATGAAGAATCCCAAGTATTACTGTAATGAAGAATCCCACGAAGGTATAGGCATCAGAACCGATTTTCTAATTGTTTACCTCGAAAAAACGATTCTCCTTTGAACGTTGGCGATTAGCTGGGTGAATGTACTGTTTTGTTATAACTATATGTATTGCACACATTGATTTAAGCCTTACTTTGTAAAATTTGTGTCCAGTAAAGAGTCCGAAATTGTGTGAATCTAGTATTTTGAGAAAAAATGGGCTTTGCGATTCGTGAGTCAATAGGCCTTGTGCGGATCGGTCGAGCTCAATTGAGCCATTCTATCCCTCTGAAAAACAGGGCGTGCACCAGAAGGGAAATTTTGCAAAATAAGACCCCCTTCAAATTCTCCCTCCTCTGGTACAGCTCCCCACGAAACTTCCTTTTCCAGTAAGCTCCCTCTGGTCCCATTTCCCTATCATACCTCCTTTTCCAGTAAGCTCCCTCTGGTCCCATTTCCCTATCATACCTACCATCTCCCGAAATTCTTCCAGCCTCCTACTGCTTTTTCTGAATTTTCGCTGGATTCCCCCTCCTTTTTCCCCAAAATTCGCCGACGACGGAGGCGAGAGAGGGGCTATGTGGCGCACTTGAAACAGGAAAAATCGAAAAAAGTCAATAGCCAAAAACATTTTTTGCATACACAACCCCCTTCCCTTCAACGACCAGCTAGGACTCTTCCCCAAGGTACGGTGTGCCCTATTCGAAAGAGAACAACTGCATGATTTTGAAAGTTCATGGGAAGATTTAAACCTTACCAGTTACTTACAAAAACAGTGGCAGGTGGTCGTTGCCAATGTCATTGGTGGAAGGGCTTAGAGAGGGTGTTTGGCCACACCCCACTCAGCCCTTGCACCAAATGACGTTGGCTACAACCGCCCGCCCCTAGCAATCGTGCCCACTACCTTTGACCGTTATGACAGGGGTCAAATAAATCAAGGAATCTTTATTCATGGTAACAATACGTGGTGATGAGGTTTCAAATAGGAATCCACTGGTACTTAGTGCACCATAGGTGTAGGAAAAAGCAAGGAAACTGCAGAATAAGCCCAGATAAGGCCCATCTTTCCTGAGTTGATTTTGAGAACTGCCATGAGCATATGGTAAAGAAATCTTATCTGAATGAATAGCTTTCATGGAAGCCTTACGAGATTCGTGATCCAGCCAAGAAGCTATACAATCTTGAAGGCAATAGCCCCTGAATTAGTGAATTACCAAAGCAAGCGGATGAGAAACCAGGCCCAGGGCGAAAAATGTTGAAAAGAGTGAGACCACTTTCTTCCAGCGACCCTGTGAGGGTCTCCTCAATCCTAACAAGGGAAGTTTCACTTGGAATAAGAGATTTTTCAAAATGATTCATTGCATGTTGTCGAGGGCCATATAAGCCCCACAAAAATGCGGTTCGTTATTCCTGCACGCTGCTGGAACTACCGAAGGTTGAGCAATAAATCTATGGTTGGGAACCCCATAGTGACAAAATCACAATCCTGATATTTTTGTTTTCGTTGTTCGTTTATCTTTTAACCCCTGTTCGTGCATGTCGAAACCCTTCTTCTGAACAAAAACGTGCACGAAAACACCCAAAGCTCTTGTCGCCAAACACAAAAGAAGCTGTCAACTATAGAATTAGTCATGAACTCGGAGAACTTGTCCCTTGTCCTGCTTGGTATTCCCAGAAACTCGTTGGAGAAGCGGACCACTTTTGGTGGTATACGCATGTACCCAACAACAAGTGACAAATTGTATTGGCGAAGGGCTACACCATCTGAAAGTAGATCCTTGTATGGGGACGGGGACTGCTGCTTACGGGCTCGCGATGCTCTCCTTGGAAGATTCCAAGTGGCCTAAGCAGGGCATCACGTCCACGGATTTTGCCCTGGCTATTTTGCCCTCGATCCGACAATTACTTGTCTGTTCTTTTTCACCGAATTGCTGATTACCTCCACCCACGGGCTCAGTTATAAGCCCCGCCGATAAGCTGAAAATTAATCAGTCAAAGGCACAGAGGCACGATGGCTGGGACGGGCGGCTGTCGCCAACATCACTAGTGAAAGGGCTGAGGCCAAACGCCCTTCTCATGGCCCTTCCACCAATAAAGCTGGCAATGGCCGTCCGCCTTTAACTCCTACCCAATGAACTCCGCCATTTTGCTCTAAACCTGAAGCTACTAAAACCGCTGATGTACCTGGTAGCGAAAAAAAATTAAGTGCCCAACAGCGAGACTACTCACTTTTCGAGCTGAAACCCAATAAAGCCGCTGCCAGGTCACTAGGTCCGAAAATGCGGCTATTGGCCGTAAGAATCTGTGATTGGCTTTCGACTGCGCCAAAAGAGCTGTTTGTTCGTCAAAACGGAAATTGTAATTTCTACATATAAATAGATTACTTCATCAACCGATAAAAACTTTATTATCACATTCAACAAAAACAATCCCAGAAAAAATTTAACACATGACCCGAAAACAAAACCATAAATTACTATTCACCGTCGGTGATACCGAGTACACAGATACAAACAAAAATAGAGCCATTCTATGATCTCTTAGGCGAACATTCATGGGTAGGCAACAATAATTAATGAGCTACTCAAAGAACCTGAGTGAAATAATTTAGCCCTTGACCAAAGTCCCAAACAGCAACGCCAACACCATATTTGCGAGCAAGGTTTAGGCGCATTTCGATAGATGTCAGCGATGGATAGTAGATCTTCGTATTGCTGAAATTTAGTCATTCTTAGGGTGATAAGGTCCCGTTGCTAGGCAAGCTACGAAAATAATATCGTGACTACAATCACAACAAAGTTACAAACCCGGAATCGCTGTCTTGGCATATCTACAGGGCGCCTGCGTCTTGACTGAATATAATCACAAAAATGAACGAAAATCCGCCGGTCGTGTGATTTTAAAGACATACTGTTCGATTAACAAAGGGTGGACCCTGTGCGCAAAGTGGGCAAGTTCGTGGCTGTAGAAGTGTAGCAGGTGCGCTACAGCGAGACTAAAGGGTTGCGACACCTCGCTGTTATTTTTATTTCCGCCCGCCAACCGATACGAGATACGCACGCCACAGCCACGCCGCACGCCATACGGTCGCCCATACGCCTGGCTATAATCACGACTTACTGCGGGGACACGGTTCACTGTAAAGCGTGCATATCACGTGAGTATCATGTGACGAATGGCGGGAGGAAACATAAGCGACGTCAAACCATCACAAGCCTCTGGCTCCATTGCCGCGCACTTTGACATCGCGGTACTTCTACGATTACGGACCTATCGCGGTTCTTCTGGGATTACGGACCTGCTCACCTCGTAGACGGGAAGAATCTACCTTCCAGCCTTCAGTTCGTCCATGTACCGGTAGGAACACCACAGAAGGAAATGGTAAATGTTGGCAACCGCCAAAGGTGCACCGCGGTCCAAAGCAACTTATAGATAGTACGAATTTCCATGCCCAAAGGCAGAAGACACGACTGCTGGAAGCCGGCGTTTGTTGCCTGCGTCACTTGTGGAAGCGCTACGGAACGCGTTTGGCCGCACCCCAGTCAGCCCTTCCACCAATGACGTTGGCGACAACAGCCCGCCCCAGCAATCGGACTCACTGCCTTTGGATAAGAAAATGTGGAAAAATGAATCTATACTTACTCATACTTAACAACATGCTCTTTCGATTTCGAATCCCATTCCAATTTGCTGTCTTCTCTTTTCAATTTCTCAAGATATCTGCAACACAAAAATCAGGAAGAACTCAGATGTACAAGTTACAAAATAGCATACTTGTCAAAATGAATAGGCTGTGCATTGTGACCGATGAATTCGTAGCCATAGTGATTCAAACCGATCATCAAATATTTGCTTAGATCCGGTGCATGCTCAAGAACAGCAGCGACTGATTGCTCCACCCAATTGTACGGCGCCACACCAGTAATGTCATCCGATCGATAATCGTACGTCATCATCTGAAGGGAGAAGATTTCTAGAGAGAAACCAGAACGGAGACTTAGGGAAAGGGAGACGGACAAGACAATCGTAATTTTTCGCATTCGTCGCGCGCTACGTATCATGCGACGAAGAGCGGCAAATTCTACAAGTGAATCAGTTTTCTCATCCCTTTGACCTCAGCTACAAACAGCCAAACAGGTCAACTAGCATGTCGGACGCGGCGTCGCTCGCCACGCCCATCAGCGCGACATATTACGATTATCTTGTCACATATACTCCTCATCATTACGGACTGTCGGGGCGGGTCAGTGCGGCTGCGTTTTCCGCGGTTCCAAAGTCTTTCTGCACCAGTTGTTGAAGCGATCAAATGACATAACAGCATTATATCCTTCGTATTACTCGTTTTCTACCACTTTTTGTCGCATACGCGTTTCAACGAAAAGGCTGAGAACGGCTTCAAACAGTGTGCGCACTCCTACTGGCTGATACGCCCCGACAGTCCGTAATGAAGAGGAGTGTACTTTCGGAAAGACCCCTAAAGGAGCGGTACCAAAAACTTTATCCAATTCCAAAGAATTTTAGAACGCACTTGAACTGCTACGAACGAACTGCTTGACCTTACCCAGGGCACGTCCCGACGTTGAGGTGCAGAATACCCCTTTCAAAAGTTCCTCCTCTGCTTCCCTCTTCTCCATCCTCCATTCAACCTATTACATTTTTTAAACACCCCCAACTTTCTATCACTCTTTGAAGAATTTTTTCCTAAAAATTCTACATTATCACGTGAACACGACCCCTCGCTGGGAATTCCCAATGTACTACGTGCCCTGACTGGACTGCAGCTAGTGACGGGCCATCGCTTTTAGATCTCTTATGGAGCGCCGCAGAATCGCAGTACTTCATGCTCTCACTCCCCGAAAGAGCTATCCAGTAAGCAGCTGATTACAAATTACCGCACACACCTGCTCAATTCACCTGTCGTCAATGATGCTTATGTGAATTTCCGCATTTTACCCACGTAAATCCACTCGGCGTTTACCCGCTGAGGGACCAAGAAGTCGTACCTCCAAGAAATCTAGAAGTTGAGTGCCCTTATAAAATGAAAGGATAGAGCTCTTGCAGATGACGACCCTCTTTTCTGGGATGGCGGACACGCATTCTACATCTATCCAGAATTGCTCGTCATTCAAGCATCCGTCTCCGCATGATTTCACGAGTTTCGCTGGTCCTGTAGACGAATTAATACACATCGAGAAGTTGCCGCACAGTGCCGCACGATACGCCGCGCGTGACGACTTGGCGAATCAGGATTGCCCCGTCCGTCTCCCGGGTCAACTAGCCAGGGCTGTCGGAATCGACGATGTAGCCCGGATCACATAAAAGACACTTCAGCTCCGTCTGATTACCATGCCCGCCTAAATAACTTTTGTAAGTCAAAATAAGCATACCTGTATGTAATCTATTTTATCAGCTAACGCGAACAAATGCGCCGGCGTGAACATTCCGCTCAATTGGCTGAATTGTTATATCACAGACCATTTCTCTCAGTTCGAGTGCAGACCGATCAACTTACTTTGAAGGACCTAATGGCGGTCCAACGGGAGCAATAAGCTGAAGGTTTTTGCTGTGGAAAGATTCTCCCCATGAAGACAGCATTTCGACAAGTAAACTAGAAACACCCGGTTGAGTATTACACAATTACACGGTAAAAAATGAGTAGACAGTTAAATACTTGAACAAAAGTAACGATCCCAAACGGAGACTGTCAGGTCAGGCAGAAACAGTAATATGTCTAGTACCACAACGAAACTGCACGTAACTGAAGGAGCAGGCGACTGGAAACGTTGGAACCTCACAAATCGCAGCCAACTTGATTCATGTATGTGTAAGTTCAAACTAGGTTAAAGGCACATTGGCACCGAATTTCTGCTGCAACGTGCGCAGGGCGAAAAATCTCCACAACAGTAAGGTCCTCACCGGCATGAATACGTCAAAAAAAGCAGCGGAAACAGATCTAGATGGTTGCGATCGCAACGTCATGGCCCTTCCCTCCCCCTATCCAGGCTGCGACGAGCACGCAACACGCCACAAGGCCAGCCATACACCTAGCCATACCCGCTGGTGGTTTGCGCCGAGCGCCGCTATTCTCTATAGCTCGAGTTAAGCAGTATGCCCGCAAGATCGCTGTTGCCAGGTCCACACTGCGGATATGTTGACAAAACATCCGCAGTGTGGACATGGTAAGGAGTATGACTGGCCGTGAGGCGTGGCCTGTCTGTGGCCCGCTCGTCGCGCAACCTCAAGCAGGCCAAGATTCAATGGACATCAAGCTATCGCACCTTTTCAACACTGCTTTCGCTCACTTCCACGTGGTTGAGGTGATATACACTGGAGATCCGTGAGATCGGGTAGGCGTGGCCGCATTTTTCAACTTACCCTCAAGGCGTCTACGCTTCTGATGCGATATTTTCATCTCCACACAATCGTTGTCGTGTCTCTGTCCAATACAGAACAAGTTGACAGTTGTCCCAGACTGGGATATTCCACCAGTAACCATTTCCTTACAGTGTTCGAATGCTCCGCCTACCCGATCTCAGGGATTTCGAGTGTACTTCCACACCTACTTACACCTACGAACCTGCGCATCTCGCAAACGAAAAGGATCCACTATGCTGATGACCATACAGTGTGTTTTCCGAGGAAATGACTGATAAAGCATTAGACTTGTTATCAACATAAAACCATTTGGTTTTTTTTATATTTCCAGCAGAGCCTCTATACGCTCGAACCCGGCCGACTACACTTGGGATCCTGTCAACTTACTCGCTCGCTTCACCTCTCGTCTGGATCATGGCACTTGCCCACAACTCGATTACTGCACCATCGAACTGTGTTCGCTGGAAAGCTTATGTCCTATATCTGAACCAATGAACGGAACAGGTAAAGGTAGTTTTCCTTACCAGAAGCAGGTTCATCAAATCTCCCAGGCAGCGGTTCATCCAACGCTCAGTTTGAAGGAATTTACCCATATCCTCAACGGACCAGTCGTCGAACAACACACGTGGTACTATTAGCACATCGCTATTGTTCTTTCGAACTTCTTCCATCCATTCTGAAACGCACACCTTTGAGAGTTTCCCACTCCGTTACAGCTGAGAACGCCTGAGTGAGGACCATCAAGGAGCCTACACACCCTACAGACCCCATCGGCGGGTCTAATGATTCTGTGACCCGCGTACACAGGTACGTCCACTGAATCATAAGTTTAACAAGTCAGGGTGCAAACAGCATCCCCGAAAATTGCGCGTGAAGCTAATTGTGTTAGTCGTGAATGCACACAACGGGGCCAGAACCACATGGCCGACCCAGACTCAGGAGTAAATTACGGTACCCTGGTCGCGCGCGCATAGGCACCTGTCTAGGCCAGCCGGGTCGCTACCAGGGTGGCAACCCCGCGCGCGGCGCACCCCTGACATCCTAAACCTATAATCTTGTGGAACATGCAATAAATACTAAATACTTGAATACTGGAAGGGGGGGGGGTGGTCTCGGTGTCGACAGCATACCCCGTGTCGACATTACTTGACGGCTTATGTTACGTAGCACAATACCATTTCCTGTACCAATGCGGGAACGGGTTCCCGAATTACCTTGGAAAAAAGACGAAATCTCAAAAATTCATACCATGATCGATGTCGTGAGTACCGAGAATGCGACAACTGAGACTCATATCGGCAGTTTGCGGCTTCAGCTGGAAAACTGAATCTTTTCTGAATATCTACTTACAGTTTCTTCTCAAAATTATGCAAAAAAAAATTATTGACCAAATTGCATGTGCAACTAGTAATTTTCTCAATCTGATATCTGGCTCTCTCACAAACGGCTGCGTCACCTAGGTAATAGTGACAACCATAAATTTGCTACCCTTCCGCTTTTCTTTTTTCCAGATTTCTACTTGGAAAAAATCCTCAAAAAACCGTATTTGTAAAATGGCGTTGGCTGAATCATTTCGAAAACACACTGCTAGACTAGGTCCGTATTGCTATACGGGA